TGATCAGTCAGGACAATCAATTCTGGGAAGAGACTAGAATTCTTTGTTCAAATACTCAATTATTTTTACTTACATGTGTAGCGTTGTTGTTACTTTAAGCCTTGGCATATATTTGGAGTGTTAATTTTGTCCATTTTGCACACAAGGAATTGATTTTGATTTAGAATTGAAACACAGTCAGGAAAGTATGTACATTGTCAACAAAGAAAACATCATCAGAAAATAATGTTTTTTGCGTTTTCGGTTTTGTCCCGAATTCGACACTGAAAAAAGTTTTTGTAAATTTTTCACAAAACTATCAATTTATCTTCTAATTTTTCGCGTAAAAGTCCTCCAGATCGTCAGTATTTTTAAGTAAAACCCTACAAAATAGAACGTTTTTGAGTAGAAAGTAAAGTAAAAAAAATTGAGTCAAAACTAAAAAACCACATTTTTTTAACTCTACAGTCTTCAAAGGTGTGGACGTGACGAGATTTCCAAATAATCTGTTGGAAACTTTCGCTAATTCTGTTCATTTTTTTATCCAAATTCGACGCTAGAAAGGAATTTCAAAACTTTTTACAAAGCGACGAAGGATTCGAAATTTATTTCATAATTTTTCGTGGAAAATACCTTAAGATTATCAGAATGTTTAAGTCAAACTTTGAGCATTTCGAAGAAAGAGTAACTTGGCTAAAACTCTTATATCTCTTAAAAATCTCTCTCTAAGAAGTCTTAAAAATATTATTAAGAAATGACCCTTAAATAAACCTAAAAACAAGTAAAAAAGTCATCAACATTTTCCTAGTTAGGGGACCCAGAGTTGCCCAGGCCTACTCCATAGTGCTATACACTGGTTCATTTCTGAATTTTTTGCCTCTTGTTAGTTTTTCACATTTTATTGCATTTATGATACATTTAATATAATTCGTGACAATGTAATCACGTAAATTTAATTAAACGTTATAGCACGAGAAGGAACCTCGATGATTTGTGAACAAGTCTGTTTCGTGCTATAAAACAAACATAAAAGTTTCAAAGAATAATTTAAACACAATTTACTAAAAACTTTAACCGACTAGTACAAGAAAAATACAATAATTCCTTAGTTCACCTCAAAGTGCATTCCTCCAGCCTTTATACATTTTGGCATCGAGCAACTAGTGTATTAACCGCGCAGCTATTATTTGAACGGGATTATTTTTTATTTAATCACAAAGCGTTTGGAATCCGAAGAATCAATTCCTCACATATATTTACGGTCGTTTCCTAAACGATCGATCTTAGATGTCCCCCAAACAAAATAATCCAAATGATTCAGATCGGGCGAGGGTGGCGGCCACGTTACTGGTCCTTCGCAAGGAACACTTTTGAAATAAACAATTTTGTGACATTATTCTGCGCAATAGTTTACAGAAATAATTGGATTTCCATGACTTGCAACGGTTAATGAAAATACCATGAGAAAATTGGTCGGCAAAATACCCTTCACTTCATTACAATCAAATGAAAGGTTCAAAAGTTGTAAAGAAAAAACTAGAAACCATTTTTTCCAAGTATTAGTAGCGTTAAAATTTTTATATCATGTAGGAACATTATTATAACCTGCTCTATTGATGCCCGAAATTATCAAGATTAAATCTGCATCACCATGTATAAATTATACTAATGTTTCTCTAACATTCCGCCGAATTTAATAGAGTTACGCAATGAGATAAACCTCCACGACCAGTAAAAAATCCAACTTTTCCATTTCCTTCGCTCAAAACCAGTTCCTGCTCAGAACTTCATTAAAGGATCATATTGCATGAAAACATCACTATATCAAGTTTCTATAGCGCACAAAGTAATAAGCGGATACGCATAAGTCCATTAGAATGTGCATAAACCCCGTCATAAACGTGGACGGAGAACGGAAAACTAAAAATCATTTATTTGTACAATCGGATACGTTATTTTTTCAGGAGCACGCGAAGGTTTTCCAGTGGATAAATAGGTCGAAGTAAATCGAATTTCGACTGTTTACATGAACCGACTGCCGTTAAATCATCGAAATATTGGACAGTTTCCCATTAATTACAGCTTCTGTTCTTTGGATGTTTTACCTGACAAAACTTTGTATTTTTACATTAAAAAAACACCAGAGAACCCTTGCCAATTTACTATGAAAATGTCGAGAAGCGCTTGTAGAAAAGTACTTTGCTGACTACCTCTGAAGATGCAAACCACCCGTGCTTGCACCGTCAGGAAGAAATTCTTTTCAAAGCCCGAAAAACTCACTAGCTTCTACTGCTCAATTCTTCAATTTAAACTGTCCCAGAATGGTTCCCTGGTGCCGACTCATAAATCCTGGATCTGCACATACACATGTTCTAACTTTGCCAGTTCAAACAAACACAGTTTGCAAATTAACATGTTTAGACAATTCCTGGATAGCAACATGTGCACCGATTAACGTTTACATTCGAGTTTATGGGCGACACGCATAAATCTGGAATAGTTTCGAGTAATTTTAGAGCGCCCGAACGTAGTAAACATTCCAGACAATGCCATAAAGGTTATTAACACCGGAATCTGTGAATGTAGTGCCTACCTGAGTGTTGCAGGAGAAATGCCTGCGATTGGGCCCCTGGCAGGTGTTGCCCTCCTGGCATTGGCGGAACTGGCTGCTGACTCCGCCCCCACAGGTTCTGGAACATGGACTCGGTTCCGACCACTCGGTCCAGTACCCCAAGTCTGGACCTTCACCGCCTTCCGTTACATAACTTTCCGGAAGGTACAAGTGAGCGCCTTGCTGTCGTTTGAATCGGTCTCTGTAGTGTCTGATTCTCTGAAAAAACGAATCAATTTGAATCGAAAAATTCACGTAAGTTTTCTCACTTTTCACGCAAATGCTGATAATTTCAAAGCTGGAAAAAATGGAAAACGTGCGTACCCACATTGTCGTCAATAAATCATTGGAAATTTATAGCTGAACGAGCGGAGTACTACAATTATCTTAATTGACTTTTTTATGGCTGAAAGTACTCCGGTCGCGAAGGATCCAAAGGACCCCACACAGCAGATAATCGCACTTTAATGCACCTCACAACACGTGCGTGCATTATCAAAGGAACTGGAGTTATGAATTAATGTGCCCCGATGGACGGATAATGCGGAAGATTAACTCGTTTTGGTTTAGTTTTGCCTCAAAATAGAAAATGCAAGTACAGCCATTAAACTGTAGTCGCTCATGCAGCATTAGACGTTGCAATATTGTCTAAGATAATGACTAAGTGACAAAATTCGTATTATAACGTAAAAATTAATTTTCTTTGAGAAGCTGTAAGTTTGCGCGTGATTGCATCAAGATTTATCCCCAGACGTTAAATTACAATCTTTATACCTTATTTATAACTCAAACTAATCTGATAGGTTTCAGTAATTTATTTCGAATTCACAATTATTATTTATTTTCTAAAACGTTTCGCCGTTTTTTCCATTATCTTCAGTTAGATAAATTTTGGGACAAAGGCAAGATTCTTGCATCTGGTTCAGTTCTGCTTTCAGTTTTTTATATCTTTTCTTTACGTTGCATTCCTTCATCTAACCCAGAACACTACAGGGTGTCCCATAAGCTCATGATCAAAAGGGTACTGCGATATTATTTGGACCAAAAGAAGACGATCTGACCTAACTTTTATTAACAAAAAATGTCTGGCTCCTCTGCTATTGATGGTCAAAGCTCTTCAAAAAAATTATCTTTTTCGAAATGTCGGGAGAATGGTACGATGTATTTTAGTGAAACTCGCTGTGAATTTGTCCTAATGTAAGACTCATATTTTGATGAAACAATCGAGTTCAGCCGTTTTGGACAAGTGGTGAATTCTTGAGTGTCGTGGTACAAAAACTACCAGAACTTTTTAGTTGGAAATCAACTCATTTTTTTAGGTTGATGCACTAACCATTTGTTCACAATTTTGTGCTCTTTGTAAAATCTTGTAGCATTCATAGTTTTTGTGTAAAAAAACATGTCTGTTTTCTAGTCACTTAGCAATGCTACACATTTACTGCAAATATGCGCCGCGTAAACGCGTACGCTTTCACGCAAATTGTCTTCCCAAAACCCTAATACTTTGACCATGTCGGTCACTTCTTCATTAGAAAAGGTCATTCAAAACGAATTTGCAAGATTGATTAACAATGATTTTATGCCTCGTATCACGATATTTGCAGTTAATGTCTAACATTGTTAAGTGGCAAGGAAACAGAAATATTTTTWTTCGCAAAAACTAWGAATGCGACAAAATTTTACAAAGAGCACAAAATTGTGAATAACTGATTAGTGCATCAACCTAAAAAAATGAGTTGATTTCATCCTCCAACTAAAAAATTCTAGCAGTTTTTGTACCACGACACTCAAGAATTCCCCACTTGTCCAAAACGGCTAAACTCGCCCAAAACAAATTCACAGCGAGTTTCACTAAATATACATCGTACCATTCTCCCGATATTTCGAAAAAGATAATTTTTTGAAGAACTTTGACCATCAATAGCAATGGTGTCAGACATTTTTTGTTAATAAAAGTTAGGTCAGATCGTCTTCTTTTGGTCCAAACAATATAGCAGCACCCTTTTGATCATGAGCTTACGGGACACCCTGTATATTTAAAAAATAAATAATTGTGAATTTGAAATAAATGACTGAAACCCAGGAGATAAGTTTGAATTAACCGTGGAAATTTATTGTTCCTATCATTATCAATTTACGCTCAGTTCATTTTTTCAGATGCGACTTTCTACTTAAAAGTAACTACGAAAGTGTGGATTAGGTCTGGGTAACACTGTGTTGAGTTGCGCTATTGAGTTGTTGCTGCTTTCTGGGTTAATGAGTTATAGGTAATTTATTAAAGCTTTACGAGACCCAAGACTAGAATTTGCAATCTAAACAAAAGGTCATCAACATTTTTTCTGAGTAACGTTTTTTGCCAGTATTTTACAGTAAAACGTTAGGAAAAACCCGTTTTTTCCGTTTAGTGATAGTGTTGTTTAGAAATATTGACCTAAAAGTGAAGAAACCCCAGTTTCCAAATAAATGATTATAAACTTTCGCTTTTTCAGTTCGTGGAAATATTTTTGAAAAAATATCCAGAATTAATTATTAGGGTTTTGTCCATAATTCGAAGCTGCAAACAGTTTTCCAAACATTTTTGTGCGGTTAAGGATGCGAGTGTTGGAATAAAATCTATCTTATAATTTTTACAGAAAATACCTGAAGATTGTTATGGTTGATGTTAACTAAATAATAATGCAATTTTTGCATAAAAGGAATTGCTTAATAGAAACTTTGCTGAAACTAGAATGACCTGAAAATTTAAAAAAGCTAAATATTTACAGAGCGATGTGGCTGGCGAAGTTTCCAAATAATGTTTTGTAAACTTTTGCCCTCTGGCCGTTTTCTCAAGATAATCTTAATTACTTTCGCTAAAAAACTGAATAAAATTATTCTGTTTTTGTGGCAAATTCGAAGCTGAAAAGGGTTTTCTAACGGTTTTCGGGGAAAACGGAAGGACTTTATTTTCGTTTTTGTCTCGAATTCGAGTTTTTGTAAATTTTTTACAAAACTATAAATTTATCTTGTAATTTTTCGCGCAAAAGACCTCCAGATTATCAGTATTTTTAAGTGAACTACAAAATAGAGCGTTTTTGAGTAGAAAGTAAAGCAAAAAAAATTGAGTCAAACCTAAAAAACACATTTTTTTAACAAACTCTCAACTCTTCAGAGTAATTGAAGCGACGATATTTCCAAATACAGTAAAGTCCGCTTATAATGAACCCGGTTATAGTGATGATATTGAATTGAAACGTCGTCCATAAAGACCAACGTATTTTTTTACTGGTTATAACGAACCCGTTTATAACGAACTTCCGGATATAACGATCACTTTTTAG